AGCATTCAACAATTGAAACCAAAACAGAAGAGAAAGAAAAAACTATGAAAAATTAGTGAATAAGAAAGCATCTCTTGATGTTGAGGTTGAATTTCTGAAAATAGTTTACAATCTACCCGAATTTAGAAATAACTTTTTAAATTTCATGAAGGAAGTTTGGAATCAGAAGTGCATTCTCCAAAATTAAGTTGTATCATACATTAATGTACTATAGAAACAAAAAGGTAATTTCTAAAGACCCTCATATACACGCGGACCCTCATATGCATGCAGACCCTCATACACATACAGACCATCATATACTCACAGACCCTCATACACACGCAGACCCTCATACACATACAGATCCTTATACACAAGCAGACCCTCATATACATACAGATCCTCATACACACACAGATACTCATACACACACAGACCCTCATACAGACGCAACCCTCATACACACACAGTCCCTCAGACACATACAGACCCTCATACACTCACAGATCCTCATACACATGCAGATTCTCATACACATACAGATCCTCATACACAAATAGGCCCTCATACACACAGAGACCCTCATACACACATAGACCTTCATACACACGCAGACCCTCATACAAATACAGATCCTTATATACTCACAGACCCTCATACACACACAGGTATCTCAAATGGATCATTTATGGTGAAGGTACTAATAAACATTGTATTAACTAGGCTTTCACCATTCTATAAAAAATCAGCTACTGAAGACCAAGTTTGGATTTTGCTGTGGTAAGATTAATGATGACATATATACCATCAAACAACTCCAGAAAATTGCTTACCTCTCCAACAGAAAATTGGATACCTGCTTGGTAGACCTTACAGCAGCATATGACCATATCAATAGAGAATTCCTTTTCTCATCCATTAGAAACCAACTTCCAAGCTCCAAAGCCACTGAATGTCTCGATCTGCTACAAGAACTATATCAATCCACAAAGTTGTACATGTTGAGTGAGGACCCCATTGCTAGAATATTCCAAAGATCATCTATAGCACAAAAAGGATAAAATGAGGGCCCCAATATATTTAATCGCTTCTTGTGTATATACAAGCACAGATATAAAGAGATGGGCACTGATTACTTAAATATCCCATACCATATCCCAAATTAATCTACTAATATAAAACAGCATTCATTGTTCCCATCCGGTTGACAATATACAAAGAATGAGGGGGCTATACTGATGACTTAGGTATTACACATTGGGTCAAGAATGATCTTGAACAAAAATCAGCATCTTCTACCAAATATTCCAAGAAGTAGGTCTCACGATAAATCTTTCCAAAATATAAACAACAAACTGGAATTAAAATGAGAGATGGCACGTAACCTGAACCATTCATAAAATTCAGGATGTGGAATTGGTAAATACTAAAGACTTCAAATACCTCAGTGGATTGATCAGTTACAATAAATTTAATATAGGAGATAAGGAAATTTAGCATTAACCTAAAAACTAGTGTCATGCTTTTAAACTGTCTCATCAGATTGAGACCTTCATATGGGTATCATGCATAGCACCAGGCTTGTTCAGAAATATCTAAAATGTTAGCTGTATGTAACTGCTTTCTAAGATCAATCACTAGAAAAGCTTGTGCAAATGAAGAATGAATTTCTCAGTGATGACCATCGTTCACTGAACCTTGTCGATTGATATAGCAGAATCACAAATAATTATGCAAGGTAACAGAAACCACATCACTTGAGGAATATTGACAGATGTATCAACTGAAATGGGAAGTGCATGTAACTTGAAAAGAGAATAATAACATAATCAAGATGCTGACATTCCACTCTACCACAGACAAAAGCTAGGAAGGAAACCCCCATTGGTGCTGAAAAGAGCAAAAATACTATTTGACTTGAGAAACATATTTTCCTCAAGAATGTTTTTATGAGCAAGATTTTATAAATTTCAACTGACAATTGAAGTGAATGCTGAATCTTTCTCTGTAGGAAATATATATATATATATATATATATATATATATATGTGTGTGTGTGTGTGTGTGTGTAAAAATATGATTCCAATGCTACATAAGAGTTCTCATGTTTCAAAACTTCAATATAATTATTTGAATTTGCTTGAAGATGGAACAGAGCTTGGTACTTTAATTCAATTTAATTCAAATAATTATATTGAAGTTTTCGGCTCTTGTTTTGAAACATGAGAACTATCATATTTTTAAATAAATAATTATATATATATATATATAGCTAGGCAGTTAGATATCTCTCTTAATCTATCCATCTAATAATCTCTCTATCTGAATTGGTACATATCTGCCCTTTTAACTCTCAATCTGATCACATCTACCTTTTCTATCGCAGTCTGTTCATATCTACCATTCTTTTGAGGTCTGATCATATATATCCTTTTATTTAGGTTTACATGTGTCTATCACGTTGTCTGCATGAATCAATCTTTCAATCTATGTCAGCACGTGTCACTCTCTATGTCTGCTCACGTCTGTGAATGGCTGTTTATGTCCATTTTTCTATCTAAGACTGCTGATAACCATGCTTCTATATAGTTCTACTCATATCTATCCTATATAGGTCTGCTGATATCATTGCTTCTATATAGGTCTACTCATATCTATCCTATATAGGTCTGCTGATATCATTGCTTCTATATAGGTCTACTCATATCTATCCTATATAGGTCTGCTGATATCATTGCTTCTATATAGGTCTACTCATATCTGTCCTTCTATACAGGTTTGCTCATGTCTGTTGTTGTGGGCAATACTGCTTGGGTATTTAAGAGGAAAAACACTTGTCTCCAGGTATATTTATTCCACAACAAAAATGGTGGACTTAGAATGTCAGTCCGAGTAATAAAATGAAAAAAGTAACAACAAAACTATATATATATATATATATATATATGGTCATTCACAGATAGACTGTTTTGCTGTATCGCAGCACCTCAATGTAACTAGTTCTTTCTTTTTATTGAGCACCATATTTATATATATATATATATATATATATAGTCATTCAATGTAACTAGATGTTCAATTGCTTCAAGCCAGGATCAAAACCTGACTGATTTGACATCAGTCAGATATATTACCTCTAGGCCATCGTTGCACAGCAGAAAGGATGGAAATTTTACCGTTTTTCGCTGTACGAAATGCACCAGCGGCTCAAAAAACTCAATTCATACTTGAAAAGAAATGCTTAATGGCTGTTTATATATATATATATATATATATGTAAGCAAATATATGGATATAGATCCGGACAGTATGAAGAAAAATATATACGGAAAAAACAAACAAAAATCCACATATGCAATTATGCTGTTGACATATTAACATTAAAACAGCATAATTGCATATGAGGATTTTTGTTTGTTTTTTCCGTATATATTTTTCTTCATATATATATATATATATATATATATATACACACACACACACAAACAATAAGTATGTATTAACAAAACGAGAGCATACATATGCAATAGAATACTGTTGTGTGTTACAAAACTATGATCATGAATGAAGAAAACACTTAGACTAGTGAATTGTGTGTGTGTGTAGTTTGATGTAAGAGAAAGTCCTAGAGAAAATGAAGTGAAAGGTGTGTGTGTGTGTGCATGCACATATTCTCCAGTGGGAAAGCATTTTCCTCATTTGACCTACATCTTACTGTCCCTGAGTGAAAAAGGAAAAAAAAAGGATGACAGATTGTCATTGTCTATTTATAGGCTTAGGTCGCATCCCCTAGCAGGTTTTTTTTAGGAAGTAAGTGGGGTTATCTCCACACTATCTATCTACCGCCTTAGCAACTAACCAACTAACCTTTTCCTTTTTTTGACAAAATTGCTCACCCTGTACAAGGTGTAAGAGCCACTCAAGGTAGAGGGTTACTGAGTAAGAGATAAGAGGTAATGCATAGTTTATGAGGACATGTGCAAAAGATAATAGTGGACCCTAGACTTGAACAGGTTAAGATTGTAATGATTGGAGAAGCATCCTTTTAGGATGCCTTTTATTACAGATCTCTCTATTATCAATCTGTTTACATCTATATCATAATGATATTTACTAAGCTTAGGACTTGTGTATCCTGTGTTAATGGAAATTGATACTAACAAAGAGAGACACAGTCATAGTTTGTTAGTCATTACATTACACCAGATGCTTACATGTTATTTCTACATTTATTTTATTTTTCATTCTTTTTTGTTATTTTATGTTTTTCTTTTTTCCTTTTCTTCTATCTTTCTTTTCTTTTCTTTTTTTTTTCTTCTGTCTTTCTTTTATTTGATCTTTCTTTTCTTCTATCTTTCTTTTCTTTTCTTTTTCTTTTTTTTTGTCATTCTTTTCTTCTGTCTTTTATTTGATCTTTCTTTTCTTTTCTTTTTCTTTTCTTCTGTCTTTCTTTTCTTCTTTCTTTTATTTCATCTTTCTTTTCTTCTTTCTTTTCTTTTCTTTTTCTTCTGTCTTTCTTTTCTTCTTTCTTTTATTTCATCTTTCTTTTATTTCATCTTTCTTTTTTTATTTTTATTTTCTTTTGTCTTTCTTTTCTTCTTTCTTTTATTTCATCTTTCTTTACTTCTATCTTTTATTTTATTTTAATTTTCTTCTTTCTTTTATTTGATCTTTCTTTTCTTCTATCTTTCTTTTCTTTTCTTTTCCTTTTTTTCTGTCTTTCTTTTCTTTCTTTTATTTCATCTTTCTTTTCTTCTATCTTTCTTTTCTTTTTCTTTTCTTCTGTCTTTCTTTTTTTCTTTCTTTTATTTCATCTTTCTTTTCTTCAATCTTTTATTTTATTTTAATTTTCTTCTGTATTTCTTCTATCTTTCTTTTATTTTGAGCTTTCTTTTATTTGATCTTTTTATGAGCAATTTATTTTTTTCATCTTTATTTCTCTTTTCTTTGTTTTTTATTTCATCATTTCCTTCTTACTTTTGATTATTCACTTTTGTTTCTTTCTTCTTCATGTCTTC